GGGTCGAAACTTTTTCGACCTAAACGAACGCAGCAAACACCATTGTTCTTTAAAAAAAAATGTTAAACTTTCGAAGTTATTTCATATAATTTTTTTCCTCGAGACGATACAGAATGAAATAAAGCTATATTAAATTTGCCAATTTTTTCTTAGCATATTCAGAAATTTGCAAAAAGTCAACATATTCGTAAAACCCTATCATCATGTATGTTTTTTGGAATCAGCGAGAAAAGACCTAATGCTCATATATTTCTTTTAAGGTATACCACACAATTTTGTTCAGACCTCACCTCACAGTGTCTGCCGTTGTTTTTAGGCCCAACAATTTTTCCTCTGATTGCAGTTATGAAAAAAAAAATTTGAAGAACTGGTAATGAAAACTGTATTGGTTATTTGGCCTTAAAAACAACGGTAAAAATTGTGAGATTGGGTCTGAATAAAAATGTCTGTAAAAAAATGTGCAAAAAATAAATTTAGCAAATTTCTGAATATGCTAGACATTGGCAAGTTTCATACAGTATAGCTTTATTTCATTCAGTATCGCCTCGAGGAAAAAAGGTATATGAAATAACTTCGAAAGTTTAACATTTTTAAAGAACAATGGTGTTTGCTGCGTTCGTTTGGGCCGAAAAGTTTTCGGCCCACGTGAACATGAAGAGGTGCCCCTTTTTTTAATTTAAAAAAATTTTACGAATTATTGTGCCAAAACGGCTCCACACCGGAAACCAAAATTTTGCATTCTTACCTTCGGCCGTGAGGGGTATCACATAAAAAATTTTCGTCAATATCAGAGGGGGTCATGCTCCGGCCTCTGGCTGATTTGAGATGGAATGACCCGATGGTCTTCACATGAAAAGAAATTCTGAGAAGAAAGTCCAGACTAAAAGCTAGCGTGAGTTCTTAACTCCATATCTCTTATTCTCCTTTTTAAACATACCCATCGTTTTCTTTGCCCCTGATTTTTTTGTCCCCCCCTGGAAACGTGGAGACGCTCCTTTGTGAGACCTATTTTCCTAGGGTCTGAGGTGGATAAGAAGTGTCTCGCATTCCTTCCGACATGAGTAAGCGTTCTTGGCGTGATCTTACTCAGGAAGAGAAGTTTTTTTGCTTAAAGCAGAAAATAGTCCAGATTTATTCGATGTGACTGGTTAAAAGAATTGAGTTAGATTCCTATTCGCTTGGGAGAAGAGAGGGGAGGGAATAGGGTAAATGTAGGCATTTAGCTGTACACTGGGATTGCATTATTTTCCAAGAAAGCAGGAAAGGAATTATGACTGTGGCTAGTGCTCATGAATTCAGACTAAACATTATTCCGGACAAATTCACCTAATTTTGGTTCCCTGAAGCCCTTATTACCGGGAGTTGACTGATCTGTGGATGGGGCTTTCTGCGAATGGTTTCCTGCTCCATCATACGGATGGTATGCCGGCACGCAATCGCATTAGCATTCTGGCTTGTAAAAATCATATTTGTTTAATCGAGTGAAAACGGATATTGACCTATACCCATTTTTCCTTCGAAACTTTGTATGACTGCTTGAATGATAAGACAAGCTCTCACCATTTTCCCGTGTCGTCATTCTCTTTCCCTTCGTATCCATTTTTCATTTTCGCAAATTGGCTTGGAGGTCGCACTCTGAGTACCCTTGGGATAGAGAATACTAAATGAAGGCCACTGAGAGGTACAGGTACCTCAACTTCATTCATATACTTATGCGCTTATGCACTGTTCATGAGACAGGAATTTATTCGGGTGACAGTAGGTGCTGGGAGGGAATGGGGGAGGGAACCATTTAAAACCCAAAGTGGCACAATGGAAAGTCTGGGTGGGACAAATCAATATACATTATATAATATCCAATTCCCATATTGCAAAGAAGCTCGTCTTGCACATTTCACCCAAACAAATAACGGACGTTCTCCTATACCCTCTATCCCAAAAAAATTTGGAACCTTTTTCAGTTTTTAGCCTCTCCTAATTGGTTTCGGCTATCGCTGTGCGCCTTTGTGGGCTGACTAATGCATCAAATGAGCACATGCATGCAAAGTTATAACAATATACATTTGCTGGTTTTTGAAATAGAGGAGGTGATTCAGCGCGTGCCAGTAGTAAGGGAGTGCCGCTAGAACTGTACGAGCGCATTCCTCCAAATACAGTAATGCGTCTCATACAGGACGGCAGACGTGATGCGCACAACCAAGATAATTGCATCAATCTATCCTGTTTGACACTCGGATGAGGTGCTCGAAGTGCCCACCGTGACATTCTGTGATCAGGCACGTGACATTGATCGAAACCCAAACGATGCACGGTTGGCATTCTCCTGCGACGTGGGAATGATGAGTTCCACTCGTGCTCGTGCTGAGTACAGTCGGCAGCAATGGTCCACCTCAACCTTACTTAAAATAAGCTGCTGCATCTCAGAAATGAACCAATGGATTTTAATGCAACTTTGCATGCATGTGCTCATTTGATGTCTTAATCAGCCCTCAAAAGCGCACAGCGATAGTCGTACCCAATTACGAGAAGCTACAAATTGAAAAAGGTTCCAAAATTTTTTTTGGGACAGAGTGTATATAGGACTTCCCAGCAATGTGTACGAGTCAAACGTTTACGGGGAACTAGGAACGCAAAGTTGGAGGTAGCAGTTTTGAGAAAAGTCCGTCTCCGAAGGAAAAGTTCAGGTTCAGTTCCATGGAATCCCTCCAGGGGTCAGGTACCCAAGTTTCACGATTCCTTCTTTGTATATCTCTTAGGGATGAGTTCTTGCTCGAAGAGGCTCAAATGGAAATGGACCGATGATGGACCCTTGAATACCTTCCGATGTGACATCATGCGGAATCTTTCAACAACTGTGACATCGTCGGTCTTCATGCACATACATTTTTCCGAGAAATGGCATCTCAAAATCTGGCTCAAATTCATAATATAAGCTAGCAATATGAGTAATGCATGAAGTATAAGCATGGGTAGCAGAAAATGAGGACTCGATATCATGAGGGAAGAGGTTTTATGACCGGGATTGTGGTCGGAGAGGCGCCTGCCCTGTCGTCTGGGACACGATCAATGAACCCATCATGGGACATGAGTTGATCTCGTCTTGTATGTCATGCATTTCGTTTTCGAGTGAGCTACGTCACGTTAGCGAAGGAGATGGTGAGAGGTTAAGGTAATTAAACGAGTAGGCTTGATTTACTAAGGCCACCAAATCTGAACCCTCGCAATAAAATGCTCATATGTCATGCTAATAAAAGGTGCTGATTGCCGTTCCAGAACTTTGTTCGTATCCGTTCGAAGTCTCGAATCCGGTCATGCTGGTCGAGAAGGAAGTAACCTCCTTCGATCTCTGTGAGGTGAGAACTTCTTTCTTGTATGACTCATTCTTGGAGGTGCATCTCAAGAAGCGTCGTTTCAGCACTTTCCGTCTCTCTGAGTCCATACAACAGTAAAAGACGAATATCCCGATACCCTAAAAAAAATGATTCCAGACTACATTATGGTTTTCCCGAATGCCTGATGCAAAACACAGTGCCTTCAAAAAGTATACGACTGCGGCTCCACGATGTTTTACTGAAGATCCTTTCAACGACAGATAAATAATTGTTGATTGCACTGTGTACTACTTACCCATATTTGAAAAGTACACTTCGTCATCTCATCGTCATGCACTTCTCGCTGCATTCCCTATGGCTGTCAAATCAAAGGAACCTGACGTTTTGTTTTCGTCATTCCGTTCTTTAACGACAACGTCCCGTCAACATGGCTCGATGATTACGGTAAAAACATGTCCAGGCTCCAACCCGACGAGTAGCACGTAGTTTTCTCTCGGCAGACCTGACTAGTGCCAGATTCTGCCAGCTCTCTCTTTTGCTCAAGTATAGACCATTCTTTGCTCGATGGTGTGAGCAATTAAGGCATCCGCTGCAGCGATGTACGAGTACCAGATTACTATACACCCATCGGGCGTCTGGTCGTCACCCGAGAGAGGGTGAAATCTGTTAATATTTCTCTCAAATTCCCCAATCATCGTATTCAATCTCTTATGGAGAGGGGGTGACAGCTACGAGGGAAGTGAAGTGCATTTTCCTGATCGACGAAACAAAAGCTATACGTACAGCATTCGGAGTCTCCGAAAGGAACGGGAGGCGAAAATGTTTCAGACTTCACTTCTGTTGTCAGGCGTTTGGCTCGAGTCCCGTTTCTTAAATCGAAACTTTACTATTTCTGTCTGCTTGAAGCCGAGGGGCCTATGAGTTGGGTAGAGTCGGGCTTAATTGGATCCGGCCGGAGCTAGATTCTATTCATTGCCGATTGAATCGGGGAGGGACGATTAGAATAGCAAGGACGAGATTGGAATTCGATCATGAGGACAGTCGGAGACCGAGCAACTCCAAACTATTTCCTTGCCTTTGCCGTGATTGCCACCGATCGACATACGACGTACGAACAGTATATATACTGTTCGCACGAAACGATATATCGTGCGCATGTTTTGCGGTAGATTAGAATGGACAGAATCTATGTGAACCTCTGTGCGCCTAAGAATCCTTGCCTTCGGCTACCTATTCCGTATCTACCAATACGAATTTTCTCAAAGAGACTAATTCTTGGTGACGATGAGAGATTTCTGGTAATTACCCAAGTTCTCCGTCGTAATTTTTACGACGCCAGACGACTGCACTTCATACCTGTGATGGGTGGACTTTGGTCAAGAGCTGCATCGACGATGCCACTTCCACAGGAGACATGAAAAAGGAACGCATGGGATAAAGAGGTCTTTATAAGGTGCAGCAGTTTTGCCGGTGATGCCTTCTTGACAACTTTACTACGGGTTCAGGAACGTGTAGCATCGTCCTTGTGTGCATGTGACAATTCCAGTCCATGGAAAAAAAAATGGATGGATGCGTTGATTCACTAAACGAGAAATTGTTGCATTCGGAAACTACGGTACTGCAGATTATCAGCATTAAGCGAGTCCTTTCTATCCATGCCTAGCCTCTTCATAAGTTAATGGAACTCTGATGAAAGAGGAATTAGAAATGAATGAGGGAACAAAAGATGACTCATGCATGGAATCGCTCGCCAGCAAATAGAACAGGGAGACAGTCAAAATGTTTGCTTACTTAGACACACAACAAAGCAAACACAGCGAAAGTTATTTTGGCTAAACTGCAAACATGAAATCGTCGTACTTAGCTTGGGTTTCTTTAGCAATTTTTGAGATGCCCATGAAACAAAACCAGGTGTTTTGCCCCCACTTTCCCGAGTACTCATGCTTTGCTCCGGTGCATGTGCCAGCAATTATGCAGGTACTTTCCTGTTGCTCAACAATTTTAGGCCTGTTGATGCTGATTATGAAAGGGATATGATAACAAATTTGGAAGACCAACCTGTGAGCCGTTGATGAGGACGAAGATGTATGAGAAGACCGGGGACAGTTCCATTTGTAGGACTCCAAATAACCAGCCACATCCCAGGAGACTCGATATGGTGAACATTTTCATCATGCTGCTCCTGCAGTTACATTCACAAGTACACTAATATCAACTCGCAGAGAGCTTGTTGGGCTAAAACTTTCTCAATTATCATACTTGTGGTTTTTTTGTGCCTGATGCCTCCGGAGTTCATTTGGGAGAGTGTTTTCAGCCTTTGAGATCACGTAAAACACGATGATGTTGTTGGCAAGGATGACCAAGAGGACTGGACCAGCAAAAGCCCAAATGTAGGCAGGCGACGACAGCCAGCAGCTGTATCATTAAATGGAGGAGTGCTGATATTTTCCAGTTGCACATATTGTCAATGTTGCTGGTTCTTCAAGAAAAATGTATGCATTTTTCTTGAAGTACCACTGAACTTTATCAAACAGTTTACTTTGTTTTGTTTTGTGTTTGTGCTGACGGGCCAAATCAAGGCTAAGAAAGGGTCTTTAATTTCAAAATGCATATATCTGGAGATCTGTGGGAGAGATAAAAAAATTGATCGAAATTGGTTTCTTTAAATCGATTCCTCTATGTGTTGCCGATTTTCGGCGAAATCCGAGATGATCGAGCTCACTCGCTGGTAGATTTGGCGTGGAATGACTCGATATTCCAAGACACCATCATGATTTATATTACTCATTTAATTTAAAAAAGAAACTCATGCAGGATGCTTCTTTAGGAAGAATTATACAATTAATTCTTACATGAGAGCATTAGTCAAGTTATCTATCTGAAAAATCACCCTAGTCCTTTCAAACGTTATATGGCTTCATTATACACTGCTAGGGGTTCATCTTGATTTATTTTTAAAAATTATGGAACCCCTTTATTTAGCACTTTCAAATGCTGCCAGTGTATTTACTTCGTCCAACAGGATTATACGTTATTGTTAAATTATGAGGTTTGAAGATGAAAGCAGTAACAAAATGACTTTTATTGCAAGAAGCGATTAGGGTTGCCATGCCTTTATGCTTATGTTTAGTATTTGTGAGGTAGCACTAGAGGGTCAGAGCTAATTACTGATTGCAAGATGAAAGGTCTCTTTTTCCCATATAGAGATATGTACAGTAGTTAACGTCATAATTCGCACGGAAATAAAAAGCCTGATATTCCTACATTCAGTAATGATAAGTATTTAATTCCTCACCAAAGAATATTCCATGTGTCAAGAAGAAGTAATTACTCATCACCATAATGTGTTATTTGGTCACTCGGTTAATTTACATCATCCAATTCTAATTACCTTCACCAAATGGTTTCACCACCAGACTTGATGAATCTAGCACCAAATTTTCCTTCAGTATTTGCCCCAATGCCATGAAATGAACACCAAATGTTATTGATTTGGCACCAAATAATCGTTGCATTTTACCTGTCAAAAGAAACAAAAACGCTTCCTCCTTTATCAGACCTGTGGAGCAGAGACAGCACTCTTCGTTCTTTTTCTCTTTTTTTCTATCCTATCGGAAAATATCTAGCTTCGAATGGAACTGTGACCTCCCCGGTCTGGATTCGCATGCCCAGTGAATGCTTGCCTTTATCGAAACTGGACAAATGCTTTCCAAATCCAGAGCTCTAAAAACCCAGAGGGAGAGTCCTGCTCCCTACAAGTCGTTTCAATGCTCGAGTTTGCCGGTTATTCTTACGCACTTTCCTAAACCTCAAATCTCGAAGTTGCAAGTAGCCATGGCATCTAATAAGCCACCAGGAATTGAAATGCGGTGCTGTACTAAACTCCCGTACGTGTTCACAGGCACTAGATCGTTTACACAAGTCCTTCCCAGAAGCCCCAATTAATCTTGCAAGCAAGCAATCATACAATTTCATCTTGCCGTCACAGGTCTAACTAAAAGTGAACAAAAGTATATTGCTTGATACAGTTATAATTGCCGAAAATTTAATAATTTTGGTGCTGATTGGTGTGGGTTCATGCAGATTTGGTGATGGCATCACCTATGATGATGCAATCGTATTTGGTGCAATCGAAAATAAAAATGTGATGACTGATTCCAGTTTGGTGAAGGTTCATTGACATCTGGTGGTGCAGTCAACATTTCTGTGGAATGAAAACATTTGGTAACAAGTTCACTATTATTGGTGGGAGATTGAATATCAGTAATTCAGTAATTCAGTAATTACGGAATGAGGTCATACTCTTATAATGGAAACCATTCTATCCTTCAACCTTACCAATGCCAACTGAACGTCTGTTTCCTCATTCGAAATATAGATGTCGGATGTGGCCCATCAACCAGAATTTGGTATTTGCCAGGCAAAACCTTTTTTATTCCTCTGGTAAAATCCGGTTTAAATCAGGGAAATTAGGGAAATACTGGAATAAAACAGGCTAAAGTAGGACGAATTCTTCAAACTTTACCTGTAAACGTTTTTATGAATGAAATATTACTTAAAAGTTATTTTATTGAATTCTTATCCAATGATGGTCTAAATTAAAAGACTGAGAAAGTGCCGTAGAAAATTCATCATTCAATAACCATGAAGTTTTCTAGACTATTAAGGAAATGGTCTTGGAACGTCTTGAAACACACCTAAATATGTGAAATTCAGAAACTAAAGCCAGAAATACAACACAATACATTTGAGCAGGGATGACAGCAGACTGCAACATAGGTTGTTAGCATTCAGAAATCACTTCTAGAAGCGTTTGTAGTGAGACTCATTAAAATCAACATAAGCCGGAGAGATAATTCGAATCATGATTTCATGAGTCTAACCATCTAAATGGATGTGAAATTGTAAGCTTCCTTTTCGCTTGGCGAGAAAAGGAAACAAGGTAAAGAGAAAAAAAAGCCCTCACAATTCTCCATCTCCGTATCCATGAGCGTTGGTGCCAAAGGAAATGCCCACCGTGAGGGCGACGATGAAAGCCGGTACCAAGTAACCGGTCAAGAGAGAGAGTCGACGTGAAATGGTCACCGGGGGCCACTGAAATATCCTTACATGACACCATCCTTCTATTGCCATCCATGTAAACGCACAAAGGAAGACGAAGTGGAGCAATACTGCTGATACCTCGCATTCCGTCTTACTCACCGGGTGGGTGAGGGAAAAGAGAACATTTGCTAACATTTTGAATAAAATAATAGGAAAAGAAATTTTTTGAAGCAGATACCGTTGACATTTGGAAGAAGCGGCGGTCGACAAAAAGAAGCACCAGAAGATATCCTATCAACAACCAGAAGCATAAGTGTTGATGCAAACTCAGCATTTTCTTGTCCGTCGAAGATTTCCTGGACATTGATGAATTTGCCATTTTAGGCTAGCTTGATGGGAAAAATGTCTTACAAGAACTGGATAAAATGTGACCGACTTGCTTATCTGGAAGACGAAGATAGCCACTGCGAGACAGATGATGGAACAGGGCAGTAACGTCAAAGTCAACACCTCCAGAACCCAACCGCGACCCTGAAATGAATTTCAAAACACAATTCCTTTTTAGTCCAATCTACCAGTACATTCAGAAGCTACCTTTCATGCATCTGGGATGAATTCCTGCAGACGAACGTGCCGCGGGATCATTGACGCTGCCATGAATAATTGTCGGGGTATCCGGTGGAGCTCTTTCTGCTTCATTATATGGGTGGGTGAGAGGAATGGAGGTTGGGAGGGTTCCTCCCACATGTCTGGGCGAGGTTCGCCTATCGCCATGATTTCACCCTCCGGACGGATGAATGTAAACAAAAAATTCAAAAGGTGGAATGAGTGGCTCTCCGAAACCAAGATTTCAATGATGGGATCTGACATAGGTGAGTCTAGTACGGTAACCAGGTATACGAGTGCATCTTTTCATTCATTGGTAAAGTCAGAACTTCGGGAAAATTCGAAATATTTGTAGAGAATGGTGTCTCAAAAAATGCTTAGAAACTACAGAAAGTTGTGCGATGAAAGTCGGTAGAAACAAAGCTCACCCTCGAACATTTTTTTAATCGTGGAGCCACAGTGAATCGTGAAGAGCGAATGAATGCCTGGACTTGTAAAAAAAATGTCTGTCTGGCGTCTAGACCCGAGCAAGTGAACTCCTGTGCCTCATTTTGTGATTATGTGATTCCCTGTGTCTCATTTCGCTTTCTCTGCTTTCCGCAAGTAGGCGAAGTGCTGTTCTATCATGCCTGATTCTCATTTTAAATCTAATTTCAATTCGCATGCTCTCTGTGATCTGTTTCGTGAAATCTAGCTCCTTTTTGGGGCATGTACAGCCCCTCTGGATACTCCCCTGGCTATGTGAATATGGAAGACAGAACACTTGATTGAACCTTGAGGTGGCCAACGCCATCTATAGGGCTGCGACCGATGAGATATCTAAACAGAGAACTTTGGGTATCGTTGATCGGAGATGCGAATCGAAAGCTGCCTCAAAACTAGCCACGAGGCTTCCTATTTCAGGTGTAACGTTTGATGCCTGTCCGTTCTCCTTCGTTTTCCGTGTACGATGAACCTAAAGAAGTATTCGACATGGGACTCACAACGTATCCATGGAGGCTCATTATCACCCCAAAATTGGTGAGATGACGCGATCGGCAAACGGTCTCGTCGCGATCGGAGGAGACCTCTTCGAGACCCATTGTGTCCCAAAAGCCACTGCAACGGAGGAATGTTTATGAAAACCAATCCGGGAAAAAGAAAGACGATTCGAAGGGAATTTTACTTAGTATCTGGGGAGTTCCAGAAAGTGCACCGATGAGTTTGAGGAATGAAAGCTGGCTTCTCTCCCTCGTGAAGGTTTCGCCAAATATCTTGATAGAACGGCCTCTGTGGAGCTCGGGAGTTTCGAAAGGTCAGGGTCACCGGATCCTTTAGAATCACTGTCTCGTCCGTTTGCAAAGAGAAACTGAGCAGTTTGGAATTCACCACTTTCTCTTCTCCAAATCTGAAATTTCAATTCTTTATTTTACTATTGCTAGTTCTTTATCGGTTGACACATTCGTATGCATTTTGTTTCGACTTTACCACTCTTAGCTCATGAAAATATAGGCCTACCGGTACTTCGTGAAATCGAAACTGACGAATTTTGATTCCCTGGAAGTAGAGCATCCAGATCCCGGACGTCGTAGAGAGCACAGACGTAGGAATAATGGTCTCCGACGATATCGTCCTGAAAAGTTGGAGGCAACGTTATGTAGGTGTCGCCACCGCCGGAGGGAAAGACGAGGGATCTCGTCGAGCTCCGTTTCCTGTCGCTGCCGACTTCGACTATCATCGTCGTCGTGGACTTCTCAAAGGCGAGTTCCTCTCCGTTCTGGAAAAGCGTGTCTGCCAGCCTGAGGCCAGATTCGACGAGGGACGACGCCAGCAAGGTGAAATTTCCCGTTCGAAACGTCTAGAAAACGGATTTTTTGACAACGTGTCAGAATCGAGGAATCTCTTCGCACGTTCCGCCAAGGTAACATCACAATTGCGCAGCTTTAAGCAGTGAATTTGTATCGCTACTAGTGTACTCGGTCGATAATTCAAAATTAGGAGGGCAAAGCAACCTGCGTCATTTCGAGCCATCCGTTGAAGGAGACGAGGACTTCTTCCACGGTCTGAGTGAAATTCGCGAGGAAATCCAGGCTGCGACTCAGAGGGGCTTCGTAAGAGAAGAGGGTATCCACGAAGTTTCGAAACAAATCGTCGAGGAAGTCGACCAGCTCCCCGATCTCTTCCCCCGTCAAGTTTCCTTCGCTCCCGATCATGTCAGTGAGCTGGTCCAACAGCCCTAGCGGGTCCGTGTTGTTCAACTGAAGCAAATCGGGGACGATGTTTCGCTCGAATTTCTCTCAGTATGAGATCGTGGATGTTAAATTATTAGGTGGCATTCTAGAACGCTACCAGCACGTGCGTTCATGCAAGAGATGTAACATATGCATTAGGATTGGGGATTTAACACTTACAACGAGGTTTTATAATCCTGCTTCCTGCAAGGAACTTGATGTTTTGGAGGAAAATTCCAATGAAAGCAACAGTGAATGATATGTGGAATTTCTTGTTCGATAAAAGAATAACTCATGGGAGCATTTATGCATTCTCAGGGGCATTCGGGCGTTTGAGAGAGCATGCAGAAAGAGCAGAGTCAAGAATTTGCTTATTTGTTTATCATAGATTCTGCAAATTTTCTCATTAACTCATTTCATTCTCATTAACCTCAACTCTTGCGACACGATCATAAATTTTGCTTTTTACACCTTTGTTGACTTTCCATGAACATTGTTCAACTCACCTGATCCCAAAAGTTGTCCAGGAATCCCTCTGGAGTTTCGGTCGTGGTAACCATCTCTGTAAGGGATGTACACTGGTAAATATCACGAGTCGTTCATGGTTCTACTTTTCATTTAAAAGAGCAAAATTTTAAGCAAATTAATGACTGGCCAATCTAAAGGATCGTCTACAAGAAACCACTCAACTTTTTATTTGAGGGGCACTGTGGCTTCGTGTACATAAGCCATCGCTCGACGAGCTTTCATCAAGCTCTGAATCGAACCACTTCACCCTCCCACAAAAAATGAGCTGAAAATGCAGGCCTCCGCTTGAAAGGCTGATAACCGGCTTTCAGGACGCGGAAGGTCCGCTTTCTGTGATCCTTGAGAATTGTTTTCAGCCTGTTACCGGCGCATTGTCTCGTCTCTTTATAGGAATATATCCTCGTACATATTGAATACTATGCTCTACCGGAAGGGGAACCGAAAGCAGAGATTTATTGAAAAACTAGTGGAGTGACTTTCAATACCACAATGTTGCAGCATGACAACATTCGTCCGCATTTTTAGTTCGTGTGAGCTACGAATTAGTGTGATGAATGAGGAGAAAAGTTGTTCTGCACCCGCTGAAGGAATCCTTAAGGACGATCGTTCGTCTCAGATGATGCGAAAGAGCCAAAGTTGCTTGCGCAGGAACCTCAAGAGTTCTTAATTGTTGGACTCTGCAACCTTGTCGTATGGTGGGGAACGTGCATAGGTGTGCGTGGCGAACGCATAATGAACTGATGTACGTTCTTTTGTCATTTCGTATAGATAGCAGTGGAGCACTGCAAAAATATACTCGATATTGAATTACCCTCGTAGAAGGCACATGAAGAAGGAATAACGTGAGAAATTTTGAAAGCTCTTTTGACTCGGGGATTCAATGATAGTTTCAATAGCGTTACACAAGATGTGCAACATTTAACGTACTTTCACGAAGAGATACCGAAAGGACACTCTTGAATGCAACAGGACTAGAAAGTAACCAGCGAAAAGGAGGTAGTCGTGCACGATGCGGCATTCAGATGCCCATCAAGCGACCTGTCGCATGCCACCTACTTGCCACGCGAGTGTCATCCTTCACTTCTGTGTATTAAAAGAAAATGTATTTGGGCGTTGTATTTGATCATTGGATCATGACAAGAGAATGGAAAGTACTTGAAAGCCCTTGAGCACGCAGAAGAAAGTACAGGAGTTATTAAGGTGTTGAGGTGACGCGAGAGTCCAACCACCAAACACTCATATTGCAGACACCCAAGAATCAGAAGTAAACTGTATTCGAAATACTACAGCAAAGGTTCTAAACTCACCGCATAGTCCATCATTCTCCACATATCCAGGATTGCAATTGCACGTTCCATTTTCAGGATTTTCTGCGCAGTTTGCGTTGCTTACGCAATCCGTCGCATTGAAACATGGCCCTCCAGCTGCCACCTCTGCAAAGAGAAAGTCAAATTTCATTCTCTATCAAAACTTTCAGATGTGAGTTCCAAGTTCCAGCTCTTGAATCGGTTCTGACGAAAATGTTGCACTTCTCTCTCTATTGCTTGAATACGGATCATGAAAAGTACCTCTAAGAAGTATCATATCCCAGAAGTCCCAGGGAATATTAAAAAAATGGCCCCAAGAGGCCAAGGCCAATTCACTCAGTCGATTCTTTCAGAGAAATAGATACAGTAGAGGATTGATGATGAAACACGTGAAGACGATGACAAGACATGTGAAGACAATGCACTCCCAAGTAACACAGTATGTTGATGAAGCGTTACCGGAATGTTGCCTCTGCTGCTCTATGTTGCAAGTTGAAGTACAGCATTGAGAAAAAAATGCTTCAAGGTTTTCACTTTGAATGTCGCTGCTACACTTCTACGAATGCTATTGCAACCGTGAGAGAATGTTGACACTTTTGACGTCGACAACGTAGCGACAACCTTCCGATACAATATGGACTTAGACGTTTTAGGGAATTGGAAAATTTATCCTCCTCGTCAGGAGATGGAGTCGTAGGTCTCGCCTATTTTTTCTCTTCAAGAGTCAAGAGTCAAGATAGTGACATCAAGAGGCGATTTCGCCCATTTCGATATCACGTGTCGAAAAGATAGTCACAGAAGGGGCAGCCACTACTTCGTCATCTAACGCATTCTTACTGTATATCCATGAGTGAGAAATAGTCTTCAAAGTAATCCCATGTTCAAGTCTGAAAAGAAAGTACAACGTTGCACGAGTCTTCCATCATTCGCATTTGCGAAAGTAAGGTGCA